CATGAGCACAAATAAAGACTTATAAATAAAATATAAATACAGAAATGTTCTTTTCTATTATAAATGGATAAATGCGTGCTCTCAAGTTTTTCAATTTCACTTTGCCAGAGTCTAACCTAAAAGACATAGTACGTACGTCTATTTTATCACACGTGTATGTACATGTATACGTTTGCTCTAGAGAATATCGTCTATGAAGGTGCTGGTGGGAAAGAACACTGAGCAGACGGCGACGACCTTACCAAGGTCATGCATGACAGACAGCGCCATCTCATCCGTGTCTGGTCTCTCTGATGACACCGTCTCCACTGACGTCGCCACCACCCCCACGTGTATCCTCACGCCCCTCCTGCCAGGAGCGACGCGCGAGGGCGCCACCGTCAGCGAGTGCGAGTCCGGCGTCGATGTCGGTTGCCTCCAGGTGTCGCTGAGCACGGTCGAGTCGTGTGGCGGGTGCGCAGAGGGCAGCGGGAACGCGGAAGCGATTCTCGCCGAGTTGGAATCCGTGTCGGTGGAGTGGCGGAGTCTGCGCAAAGCACGCACATGCCCCTGTGCAGCGCATTTTGAGCATTTCACGCGCAAGTACCACTGCTGGCGGTGCGGACGCATATACTGCAGTCGCTGCATCGACAAGCGGCTCCACCTGCTGGGCCACTTCTCCAACCGCGCCGTGCCCGTCTGCCGGAACTGCTACAAGCAGGCGCAGAGCACGTTGTAGGTGGCGCCACTGCTCGGGTAACAGTGAGTGAGAAAATAACAGGCTGGATTCAATGCAAAGTCCGATCGAAAGGAATCGTGGACAAATGCTGAGACCTGTTGACATCTGTATTCACATATTGGAAGTAAATGTCTTCGTTATCAATAAATGGTGACCAGCTTGTTAAATGCAAAGTTTCGCGCACGATCTATAACTGCGAATTGTGCTTTTTAACTCAGTGGGTGTGTGTAAAACGTCCAGTAGCCTACATGCTAGTGTAAAAACGCATATAGATGGAATCAGTGGTGCTTCAATTCTGCAACACAAAATAATTTATATTCATTCTTATTACATTTGTGCTTCGATCTGTTCTACCGATGAAGGTATTTTCTTACTGCTAAATGTCGGTATTGTATTTGCTATAGCACTGATATTCCATGTGAAAGTTATAACTCATGCTACTAGATTAAGCAGGTTGAACAGTACATCAAAGTAACCATGGTTTTCTCTGTTTTACTATTGGTATTTCATATAGTATCTTCTTCAATTAGTAAATAACAAATATATTATTATTGACATGTACAGTCGACAGTTGGCAGGTGAATTGGAGGCATAAAGAATAAAACTGGCCATTTTTCGGAAGGCACACGGGCGTAATGATATTGTCGTAGACACTTATTTTCATTTACAAAAAGTGGTTAAATATCTCATATCGGATTAACATGTCAAGTGAAATGCGTGTAGATAGAAAATTTGTACTGCTGGTGGTACAGGTGTTAGCATATATATGTGATATATTAGCTCTCGTGAAAAAATAATGAAGGTTAGACAGGGGTCACACCTCTGTGGCAGTATGTAACACGGTAAGATGTAAAGAACGGGTTTTCGAGGACAATTGTGAATGATTAACTTGAACTGCATGTTAATACACCGTCTGTTGTTAATATATACGTGCGTATGTATAGACACAATTCATTCACGCATAGCAGAACGTGGTGATCTCTGATCTGTAAATATTATATCCGAATCGTAATATGGCATCTTGAACAACTTGTTAATAATGGTCCTGTGGTTTTTATATTTGGTTTGCAGCTTTTGTAAGCAGCTTGAGCATTTTCCTGATTTCATACTCTGTAAATCTATTTATGTTTTCTCTCGAGGATCATACTCGCTATACTGCTCTCAGGTTGGACTTTTGCAATAGACATTTTCTCAAACATAAACAGCACACGGTCAGGAAATTTCGTGTGTGATAAATTTACTCTGCATGAGTACTGACTTATCTATCTCGAATGGGTCTGGAGATCAATGACAACTTGTCATCTACTTACTGTTACCTAATAAGTGTGCAATTCGTCAGTATAGTAGGTAGAAAGTCTATAAAGGTTGAACCTATAAGTAAAATATAGAGGATGGAGTATGAAGAACTGCTTGTTATAACTAAAGAGAGGAATGTTTGCCCTTGTTGATGTACATTTACTGTTATGCAATGGACCTCTGTAAGCAACATAACATGGTGCCTGAGGTTGTGTGGGAATTCACTTGAGAGTTGCCGACCATGTGACGGGAATTTGTTTGCTCAGAAATTTAGCTGTTTACTTATTGTTCTGACATGCAATGCTTTGTACTCACTACAGATAAGTGTTCTTCCATTCTACCAAGACAAAGAGATTGGAACAGGGGTGAAATTTTGGCATGCTACAAAGTATTAACTGAGCGATTTTATTTATGGAAAATATAAACTATGTATAGAATTCCCCATTGCATTCAATAAATAATATATATCTATATATAGCATATGATTTTGAATATTACTATGTTCTAATCCACGGTTAGGGCAAGTGTTTACACTTTGAAAATGCAACAACCCAGTTAGTTGTTATGCTACCTAAGAAAAGAATCTCGTCCACGTTTAAAATATACCTCTTTGCCCTCATTCACCAATACTGCATATATTTTAGGCATGTGCACATATCATACAAGCGACACAAATCTTTGAATGTAAAACTAAAACGTCTCAAATATTAGACCTAATTGTCTCGAAATCTCTTTCTTCCCTTTATACATGTGGGCGTATCACACCATATAGCTAAAGTTACCTCATCTCACTTTTGATGGATAGAATAAAATAGACCAAAAAATTATTGGTTTAATTGACCATTGATGAATAGTACAGTACAACAGGAGCCCGTTGTCAGAAACGTTCTAACAAATAGTTACAACTATCATGAATCTACAATGCACTTGCACAAGACAACACTTCATGAGCAAAAGGTATGACACCCTACACTTATGTAATCAGAAGTACATAAACAATATTATTGTACTTTTGACATTACAACTTTACGTTGTACTACGTACGGTTCATGATGGTTCTTACAACGGGTCCTTTGCAGGAAACTATGAGACTGTACCAAGATAACATGCTACAGGACTTGGATGCTGAGCTAGAGTAGTAGAATGCCATACAGCTGTATAGATATTGTACGTACCTACAGAGAATGCAGACAGCACCGGAAATATTGCACACATTCATGAAGAAAGTGTTTACAAAACTACAGAGAGAAGGCACACAGAAGAGCACCAGTCAGAATAAAACACATTGCTAGAAGTAAAATCAAATAGTTTCTTTTTCCCTGAAACAGACAAAAAAAGATAAGAATTAGAAAAAACATAAAGAAATGTATCGAGTGCATGCATGCACGTGTGCACAAGATCAACAGAAGCATCTGCACTCTATCATTCGCCTCATGGAGCTTTAATTCTAACTGCCATGAAAATATTTCAGCACAGAAAAAACTCATAAATCATAATCAAAACTAATAAACCACACATATATAATAACATACCTGTATTTCTCTGAAGACGAATACTCCCCACAATGCTGCTATGACTCCCGGCCCCTGGAAAGTAGATAAAGACTAATAAACCAATCTTGGTCCACGCCAAGACGCACATTTTCATGAACTGAAAGTGTGGGACACAAAAACAAAAGTTGACATTTTATACTACTTGAAATCCGAGAAAACCATATTGAAGCAAGTAACTAAAGTGTACCTCGCCTTACTTTTGATTCTGCCATGACAGAATAGAACAACTCAATACAATTTTAAAACTAACCTAAGCACAGAGTAACGCGGATTGCCCGTGCCGGCATTGCTCCCACCGCGTGCAGGTGGCGCCACCTACCGTAGTGATGATGGGAAAGCTGATGGTCTCGGTGAGCACCTGATTGGCTATGAACCAGCCAGTGACGCCGCATGCGAGCATCGCTCCGGACACGAGGCCGGGCAAGATGGCGCGCGGGTAGACGCGTGGGCGATTCCGCATCACTGCACAGTAAGCGATGAATGTGACGCAGCTTGTCAGTAGCACGCCGTTCATGTGAGCAAACACGTAATCCAGCCCTGAAACAACAGAACATTCAACCCTGTGAGCACATAACATCCGTACCTGAAAAATATATTATTTAGCCCAGACAGCGAAACACCCAGACTGGAAACAAAGGAAACAGACCATCATGCACAGCTCGCTTGTAATTGATATGTAGTCTAGAGCTAAAACAACAGAACATCACTCATATACAGTTTGGCATTGATATGTAGTCTAGACCTAAAACAACAGAGCATCACTCACATACAGCTTGTCAGTCATACTTAGTCTAGATCTAAAAAACCAAAACATCACACACACCCAGTTTGTCACTAATACGCAGTCTAGACCTACAACAACATAACATCTCTTGTGTTAGACACACTGTGTCTAGAACCAATGTACACATAATAGAAAGCACACACTCAACCTCCGGGCTTCAGTAACATTGGTTTTCTCAGTTGACAAAATTCAAAATTCCCTCACCGCCCTGCAATAATTGTACAATGTCTTAATGAAATGTTCCTTTGAGACGACTCACCATTTTGGCTGGAGTCTTTATAATTGTCCTGTATGTAGATTACTGGAACAAACGTGACTCCGTAAAACAAGCCAGAGATAACTGATAGTGACACTCCTCTGAAAAAACAACAACATTTTATATAAAAAAGAAAAATCGATATCAAGAAATACAGAGGTGATATGGGGAGAAAGTGAGAGAAGGGGAGAATGAGAATGAAAGGGAGAGCGGGAGAGAGAGAGGAAGAGAGAGAGAGAGACAGAGAGATAGAATAAACCAACCAAATTGTGCACCACCCACATAACTTGAAGAAAGAAGACATGCAGCATAGCTTACTGACAGAAGTAGCAGATCTGGAATTGCACATTTTAATTGCGTTTAATTTGAGAGCCTCACCAGAACCATTTCCGCAGCAGCAGCCGCAGCATGACTTACACGACACGTTTTGTCGAAGGTTGCAATCTGTCTATGGATGTCTCATCTGGATCGGCTGGCTCGACACATGTCGTGGCAAGAGGCCGGTCCCGTGCAAGGTCATGGGGTAGATCCCCAACCTATCAACAATACGAGATAATTATATACATGCATGCACAACTGTAGATGAGGGTCATTCATGGGAAACCCCGAAAGTGTCCCTTATAGACAGGTGTCAGTTCTATAGAGCTGGTTTCACTGTAGAACACCACTCGTGAGAAAACTAAAACTCTTCTTTATAAACAGGTGGCTATTCTCTAGATTTGTTTTCACTGTATAACTTCCACTCTACATGGATGTACATTACCCTTTACGTCATGCAGTAAACCCAAACAACAGTTCTTTTATTTTCTATTTTTTCCTGATGTATGGAGAATATGATTGATAGGTACCGGGTTCACAATTAGTGGCTCAGTAGCACTGTCCAGCCTTGTGGCCACTCTCATTGGTCCGCCTCCTTCACTCTTAATGAAAATGAACAGAATAGCCCTGGAAGATTGCAATGAGATATATCCACATCATTATATTTTAAAAAGGTACCAGGTACTATTTATTTACAGAAATATCAAATGCTGCAATGAAACCAAGAGAAACACGTTTGTGTGGCATTGGGTTTAAACATGAGAGTGATGTCAATATTACAAATTACTTGCCCGACTAGTGCAAAGGTTACTCCTGTATAGTTCAAAGCTAGATTGTCTGGTATCTCCTTCTTTATTCCAAACATACCAAATCTGAAAAAAGCAAGCATGAAAATTAGAATTCTTCTTCTTCTTCTTCTTCTTCTTCATAGTCAATTGCGGATGGTCTACGCTGAGACGTCAGCTAGGGGCTGACCTCTCTGTTGATGATTCTTCTCCACCTTCCTCAATCGGCCGTATTGTTCTCTGTTACTCCCAACCTTCTCATCTCCTCCTCCACTCCATCCCTCCATTCAGTTCTCTGTTGTTCTCTCGTCCTTCTTCCTCTCACCGGCTCCTGCCATGCTCTCTTCGTTTGCCCGTCATGTCTCTTCCTAACCACATGCCCATACCATCTCAGGGTTCTCCCCAGGATGAAATTCAAACAGGGGGAGGGGAGGGGAAGGGGGAGGGGGGAGGGGGGGGGAAACTAGGGGGGCGTGTTTTTTTACCGTACCACTAATTAATGCGTAAAATCGCCACCACACCATAGACGGTATTTGGGGTTCTTGTATATATAAGATAGCCGAGTCGGTATACAGTTAGTGTTGGGTGTGGGACAGGTTGACTGTTTGTACTTGTGTATTGTCTGCAGTGCATGCGTGGTACTGTAAAAATACACGCGCCGGGTGTCCTGGTCGAATTGTACTTCTTGACGATCGATTCCCGCGCTGGCAAACTTTTATTGTGGTGGAATTTAATCGGGGCGGAGGTAATTTAAACGGGGCGCAACGATTGAAACAGGGGGGAGTTTTCCCAAACGGGGCGCGCGAGCCCCGTTTGCGCAACGTAGGGAGAACCCTGCATCTCATCCTACTTTGCATTACAACTTCCTTAACGTCTCTTACTCCAGCTATTTGTTGTACCTTCTCATTTGTTCTTCTTTCTATCAATGAAACTCCCAGTATCCAACACAACATCCTCATCTCCGTTCTCTGCAACCTCATTTCCTCCTTTCTTCATATGGCCCAGGTTTCCGCTCCATACATTAAGACTGGTCTGTGTCTATGTCTATGTCATACCCTTATCCACCATGTTCTTCTGTGTACCCCGCCGCCTCCACTCCGACATGCTCATTCAGGTCTGCTCCCACTATTAAGATCTCTCCCTCTGTCTCGAGGATTTGTATTAGCACTGCTTCCAACTGCTCATAGAATGCATCCTTATCATCCTATGTGCATCCCGTCTGTGGAGCATACGCTGATATTACATTCATTGCTTCTCGCCCTATCACCATCTTCAGCTTCATCAATCTGTTGCTAACCCTATCTACTTCTATCACCTTCTCCCTCCACTTCTCCTGCAAAATTATTCCCACTCCATTTCGTCCATCTTTAGATCCGCTGTAGTATAGCTTGCATCCGACTCCAAGCTCTCTTGCGCTGCACCCCTTCCGCCTCGTTTCTTGCACACATAAAACCTCAATGTTTCTCCTTTTCATCACGCTCGCCACCTCCGCTCCTCTTCCTGTCATGGATCCAACGTTTGAGAATTGGCTTGTACCAAATATAGCAAGCTAGTGCACTAGCAGTGATATGGCACCTAAGCACCAATATATTACCAATCCAAATGGAGAAATATCACATATGATGATATATTTACTAAGAGCCTGTAGAGAATGACACTAGTAGTGACTACTACTGCAGAGTGCTTACCTGCCTGTTGCCCAGCCAACAATCAGGTTGCATGTTCCCCAAATTAGCAATCCCAAACTCAGACCTATGGTCTTGATAACTGGCACAACACAAAGACTCCCTGAAAATGATAACACATTACATGTATAGCTAATAAAATCATTTAACATATGTGCGCAGATATATAGATTCAGACCACACTACGATCTTGGTGTATGGCTTATTAAACAAGTAGAAGTTTGTATGCCTTATAGTTATTCTTCTTATCATGATTGTCTTGCGCAGTAGTACATATGAATAACAGATGTAAGAGTGATCGCACTGACCGGATATTGCAGAACAGCAAATGTTGCCCTTCAATCATATTGAAATATTAAAATGTTATCAAACCTTTTAGCAAATATTCACTGAGTATTTCCTTGTCACTATACAAAATGCTATCATTTAATTTGTTTGGTATAATTTATGCCTAGATACATCACATAGCTTTACCTAACGACCAAAGGGCACCACCCAGCATTGCGAGTGGATAGAAGGTCGGAAATCCCCTGACTGCATTCACTATGCTGCCAACCATGTAGATCGATATGCAAAGCATCCACTGAAAGAAGAACCCTAAAAGGGCATTGCACAAACCTGTAGTACAATTTTTGTAATAAAAATGGCACTTAATTACCACCTATACCACGATCATATCTATACATATGCATAAAAATGTAATAGTAATACCATCATGTAACCATAATATATATCATGACAAATTGACAATGGCATTGGCCTTTGTCATTGGCAATGGAATTGGCATTGCCACTGCAATGCTTAGTAACAGAAATTCACAAGCACATATGATGATATAGAATACTACTATTAGAATAGCTCTAGTACTAGAGCCCGCGTACAGTTGCCGCAGGCCTGCGGCAACTGTACGCGGGCTATAGTACTAGAGCTACTATTACTATTACTAATACGGGCCACTATGGTTCAAGGATAGAGAACATGGGTCCCAATAAAACCAATGTCATTTACATCAATATAAATATATAACATCAGTGATGTAGTGGAGGGTATACTTATGTATACACCGTATACTTGAAAAAAATATAGGACATTTTTGGGTATACGCACGTATACCTAAAAAAAATAATTAGGCTATAAATACAAAAAATAAAATAAATGTAGACTCTAGTAGATCTACGAATTATGAAAATCGTCGACATTCATACGCTGCGCGTGGTGTTCCATAGAATTAATTTGTGTTGGCTATCCATATAAGCGACTAACTTTTGACAAATCAAACGTACGTATTATCGACATTGATGATTGCGCATCCGCCTCCAAGGGCCGGCGGGGGCGGCGTGCACTAGGCGCGCGGCGCCCAGGCTATGCCAGTGTAGCGGTTTTGCTCTGTGCGACTGAACCGTGACTGTATGTTTACCGTATTCGTCAGTTGTGTCTAGGGGTATAAAAGGTGTCACTGCCGCGTGTAAAACCAGCCTACAAATTAGATCGATATAGCTATAGTTTATACGTGTGCCGTGGTGTCGATGCGTAGATACTAGAAAGAGAACGAAACTAAGTGATAGAGAGTAGGAACAATGAGTTATAATTAGGTAACCTAATTAGGTAAATTTAGACATATAGTTTGGGCTTATGCAAGGATTGGTCTGAAGATATGACTCACCAATACTTCAAATTTTGATGCCTTTTGCAAAACCTTACATTAAAATTTTGAGGTGATATTTATTGTGAAAGATGATTTGTTTGTGTTTGTTTCTTTGTAATTTTGATCTTGTCAGGGTTGGGTCACTGGGGGGGGGGGGCACTGTGTTTCTGAATCACCACCACGGCGAAGCGCCTCGTCGTTGGCTTGTTGCTTTGAGAATTGAGCTATCAGTATAAGGGAGTATACCCAAAAAATAATTTACCACTACAACACTGTATAACATTATATCAATATAATAGGTTAGGGTTATGATTAGGGTTAGGATTAGGGTTAGGGTTAAGGTCAGGGTATTAGCCAAGGGGGCCCATTGGATTGGTTTTATTGGGACCCATGTTCTCTATCCTTGGGCCTTTTTGTATTTGGCTACAATGATGCAGAATTGTGACAACGTTATAATTAAATACCTAAACGATGACTACGTTATACCATAGATACACACAACACATGTGATGTGTATATCTATGGAGTATTGTTATACATAGGCCTAAAGCTAGACAGTCTGCAGCGGATATCCGCGCGAAGCGCGTCGCGCCACCTGGTGGCGCCTTTTAGAACGAAATCGCTGCGCTGTCAATATGACTTTAAGGGTTCTATCAGATCGGGGTGTTATCGGTCAATTCAGGAGTTGTGGCGCTTGGACAAACTTTTGGATTATGCACGTAGGGCGAGAATAACTCCAATGGTCGTAATTGGAATTGTTTTTGGTTCGCGCGTTAGTTCTTTTTGTAGAAAAACGATTTTGAATTTGTTTAATTATACGCCCTGAATTTATTCTCGTACTATCGCTACCCATAGATGGGGCGACGAGTCTCTCTTGGAGGGATGTTCGAGAGAATTTGCCACAGAAAGAAGGGCAATTAGGCTTAGACTGCCGCCGTGGAGAGTTTGTAACGCTCGAGTTACTATAACTTTAGTGTAGCGAGAGATACTTGGCGTAATGAACGTCCGTACCAGTCAATTGGACACGGCAGGCTGAATCGTGACGTCGCGTTTTTATTATCGTAGCCATCTTCCTTCTCCTTATGAACCTGTTGACCCCGCGCTCGCATCTCCTCTCAGACTCTAGCCCGTTTTGCCGTTTTTGCATATTACCAGCCACTGGCAGGAAGATCAAGCCCGCACGTACAGCACACACTGCATGATCATCAGTTCGTTTAGACTGAGCCACTAGCGGCACTAGAGACCGTGTACAAGATGGCGTTGCGCAAAAGATGCGGTTGTACCCGACCGCACTACTACTACTACTAGAGTACTGAGTACATAGTGTAGTAGTAGTACTACTAACGTTACAGCCACTACTGGAGTACTAGTACTAGTAACTACCAGTGACCGCAGGAGCTAATAGTAATAGTAATAATGACTAACTCTGTTACTAGTATTAACTACACTTACTAATAATGGACGACACCTAGCTTCTAGTACTATAGCAGCTTACCATTAACTGCCGCTTGCGCGTTATCTGGCGTCGAAGCGGTCGTCTGCCAGCGGGCCAGTTAATGTTAAGCGGCTATATAACTAAGGCTATGACGAACCCTAAACCTATAACCCTAACCTATGTATATTGATATAATCATAGATACTATTACAACACAATTGGTTAATTTTGTAAAATAATTGTAAATCTTGTAAAATTAAAAACGACTTAAGGCATGATAGGAGTAGTATTGCCCTGTAAGTTAGTACATTTA